CCCACCATGGACATCGCCCACGAAGGACTTGCCTCACTCGGGTGGATCATCACGAAGTAGGTGATCTCCTTTCCCTTACAAACTTCTTAGTTCAACTCCACAATCTTGTCGGAGGCTCCCAAGCGACACCTAACCAATCTAGGAGACATCACTCTCCAAAAGGTAATAGATGGTGTGTTGATGATGAACTCATTGCTCTTGTGCTTCAAATGATAGTCTCCCCAACACTCAACTCTCTCTCACAGATATTGATATGGTGCAAAGAATATTTGAGTGGAAAGAAACTTGGGGAAAGCTAGAGATCAAGATTCTTGTGGTTGGATTGGAATGTCTTGGTCTCAACACATGAGTAGGTGGTTCTCTATAAGAAAATGAGTAGCGGAAGTGTAGGCACGTTCAGATGGCTCTCACACAAATGGAGAAGGGGTGGAGGGGTATATATAGCCTCCACACAAAATCCAGCCATTGCACACATTTGACCCAACTCGGTAAGACCGAATAGAAAAACTTGGTGAGACCAATTTAGTTCAAAATTTGAATGTTAGGAATCTCGGTGGGACCGACGGGAACAACCCGATGGGACCGATGTGCTAGGGTTAGGGAAAAACCTCATCTCAGTGAGACCGATTGCATGAACACGGTGAGACCGATTTTAGCAAAGAGCAAACAGAGAGTTGGTCAAGCAAACTCGATGGGACCGATTACACATTTGGTGAGACTGAATTAATTACAACAAGCAACACAGAGTTTGCAAGGCCATCTCGGTGAGACCAAGATCCGTATCGGTGTGACCGAATTGTCTAGGGTTTCTGGCAGTGGCTATGTCAACTAAACTCGGTGGTGCCGGATGGATCAAATCGGTGGGGCCGAGTTCGACTTTGAGTTTTGGAAAAATGTGGAAATGAGAAAGTGGCTGAGGGTTTTGGAGCAATATCACTAAGCACTTTGAGCAAGTAGACCATTAAGAAACACCTCATCCCCTTTTAATAGTATTGGCTTTCCTATGGACTCATTGTGGTCTTGGATCACTACAATGAAAATGAAGAGTCTCGAGCTTTTGCCAATCTTTGTTCTTAGCATTTTGATGGGTCCACATCTAGTCCATGCCATGCCAATCATTGAACTTTCTGAAATATTTAACTTGAAAGGATATATTAGTTCAATGAGCTATATGTTGTTATGAATTGTCAAAACCACCCGGGGATTAGTTGCACTTTCACTAAGTCATACCCAAGACGCTTCACATTCACTCTTTAACTCATCCATGGCAACTTGAAAACCATGTTCACTATATGAGTAACTTGTTGCATCCATGTATTTTTTTTAATTCTAACCCTCTAAACCCAGCAATTTGAAAGTTCTGGTAAATATGTCTATGGCAAAACCTTTGTGGGCAATTGGGGAAGACTCTATTTATGGCTTTCAAAAGACCCTGTATGAAAGCACTACAACTAAATGAAAGTAATTACATGAAAGTGAACTACATGAAAGTAACTACAACTAAATATATTACCTTTTGCCTATCTGAAATGGTTATGTACTGTCCAAACTTGCCAGATTTCCCACCTATTGCTACCCTCGGCTGGCATAGAAACCAGGTCCAGGAATCAGTGTCCTCCTTGTCTACAATTCCAAAAGCAATGGGAAAAATATTGTTGTTCCCATCTCTTCCAGTAGCAGCTAGAATTTGTTGACTAGTAGTGAGCTTGATGAAGCATCCATCCAAACCTACAATATTAGCACAAATGATTAGTAGTTGAAAGAACATATAAGTGGCAGAAACAAAAATACAAGGCAATTACCTATGATTGGTCTACAGCCATTGAGGAACCCTTCTTTGCATCCAATCAGGTAGATAAACAATCCATGAAACCTAGGGTTCTTGCTAGGATGCTCCGTAATATATTTTGTTATCACAATGCATCTAGAACCTGGATTAGTGTCTAGGACAACCTATAAATAATCCCTAATCCTGGTGTATTGGGCCTTTGGATCTCCTAAAACAACATTCTTTATTGCCTTCCTAGCCTTGTAGGCCATGTGGGTTGATATATCCACTTCATACTGGTTCTTTGCAGTGTTAATAATTGTTATTGTTGTGCATGGGTCATTCCTCACTGCCTCCTCACAATGTTTTGCAACCCACTTGGCAGTGATTTTGGTGCTCTCTGACACAAAAGGGCATGTGTGCACCAAATACTGCTTCCTAATGGTAAATGTCTTCTCATTTGCAATCTGAGAACCTGCTATATAAAAAGGGCATTGCTCATCTATGCACTTTGCTATAACCCTGTTATTGCAGTTTCTATGGTACTCAAAGTTCCTGTTCTGTGATATGTGCAGGGTTTGGAGTGCAGTTCTGAACTGGTACACATCAATGAAGCAAAGATGCTTCACAAATTGGTACTGTGGGCCAGCTCTATCCTCATAATACCATAACCTTGGCTTCATCTTCTTTGGTCTACTCTTCCTACCATTGGGCAACACATATGTCATTGCCTCAACGCCATCATCATCTTCCAAACCCAGGTCTAGTGGTTTATTGTCCTCATCATCTGATGGTATCCAGTCCTCCTCAAACATCTGCTCTATACTTCCATGTGATCTACTTGTTGGCCCTTTTCTGTGTCTCTTGGCCTTATTCTTCTTCTGAATATGTTTCCCACTCTCTTGCTCCTTTTCATTGTGTTTCTTATCTTGCGCCTCTTCCTCCAATTCCTCCTCCGCTTGATCATCATCATCCTCTTCTTCACATAATGGCTGATACAGTTCCTCCTCCTCATTTGTATCCCACATCTCCTCAACATCTATGTCCCCTTCATAATGCAGTAATGGATCGTCCCTCTGTTTGTTCATTTCCTCAAGCCTAGCAAGGATATCCCCATATTCTATCAAATTGTCATCATCACTGTCCTCTTCATTGTCCATAACTGCATATTTCCTTTTCAAAGGAGTTGCCTTCTCTTTTTCTTTCTTATTCTTCCTAAACATTGCAATTTCCTTTCTCCTTGTATCCTCCATATTTTTTTCTATTTGCAATTGCTCCTTTGAATTGCTTGTGCTCTGCTGTGTTTGAAACTGTATTAGCAGTGGTTGTTCTTCTGTTGCTGCATCCGAATTTTCTACTGCTAGATCTACAGGATGTGCATTGAACAAAACTCCTTCTTCATCTACCTGATACAGTTGGGTTTCTCCAATTTCCCGTAGAGGGATCTGCTGCTCAATAACATTAGCACTGCTATTTATATCTGCAGGTTTGGGGGAACCGGCCCTAACAACTGTCACATTGAAGATCTTCTGCTTCTGCATGACTATGTGGTCGAGAATTTCCTCCAACATGTCATCATCCTCTATTTCTTGCATTCGTTCCATCCCTAGGCCAGGATCCTTCACATAGTACATGTAATCCCTCAAACTATATCCTTCAGTCTCTATCAGTGCTACTAGATTGTAAAATGTGATGTCTGACAACATCATAGTTCTCTCAAGATTGTCTCTGTCATGAAAATGCATCCTCAATTCCCAAACCTTATCATCCAAACTACAAATTAAAAAATAAACATAGTGTTGTATAAGTGTTCAATTATAATACTTATGAAAAAGTAGAACATCAACAAACCAAAGCTTTGGGTTACTTAAGTAACCAACCCAATACAAGGCAAAACAGTAAATAACCCTAGCTTTGGTTCATTAAGAAATAGTGCAATACAGAGCAACGCAACACCTAATTTCAACTAAATAACCCTAGCTAATTTCATCTAAATAAGACACAAACATCACCTAATTTCAACTTAATCACTTAATTTCAGAAACAAATCATCGCAATAACAACCATAGGCCCAACAATATGCAATAATTATCCTAACCCTAACCCTAGAAACGGATCAGATAATGTAAGAGAATGTAATGGAGAAGGGAAAGGGGATCTCACTATACGCTGCTGACGGATGAAAGCGATGTGGTGGCTTCCAGTCGGATTGGCCTTCACCGCTGCGGCGAAGGATCTAGCCGCATCATATTCCACCGAATACTCCACCGCTGCATTGAGAGTCGCCTTGCTAGGGTTCGAGCTCCCGCGGAGCTCGCCTGGGTCGGGATCCGCGTCGCCCGCGCCACTGCTGGGAGGCCCGCCGCCGCCTGCTTTGGGAGAAGCCATCTGCGTACGCGACACAAGGAGGGCGGAGAGAGCGGGCAGGACCGGGTGGGGGAAGAAGGGGAACATCGGGCAGACGCGGGAGACAAATGAACAGAGGGGGAGATGGAGGCACACGGCGCCGTCTCACGCCGTCTAAGGGCTGTCGGAACGGCCGACACTGCCACGTAGGCAAAAATAGGGCCCCACCTGTCATAAACTCACTTCACTGAGCCAGATCCGCCGATCAGTATTTTCTGCAAAAAGATTACTGAAGACATGGTGTTTTCTGAAGAAAAAAATGTATTGTAGTGTTTTTCGCAAACCTAACCTTCAAACTGGTGGTTTTCTGCAATTTACTCAACTCTAGCAGATTCGACAAAAGCACCCGGACTCCGTAATTACCGCCATATGGAGGCTAGGGTGTAAAACCCACTCTAGCAGATTCTCCAAACTTGGCTCGATCATGAACTTTTCTGCAGGGAGCTCCATATTTACATGATTGGTTTGTTATCAATATTTGGCTACGTGGTAAAGTTCGAGAGTTTTTATAGTCTACCTTGTTCCAGCACTCGAAAGATTAAGAATCGAAAAGTAGCAAGAAATAAATAATAGAGACATTCCAAAAGAATATTGATGGAAATACGGGTATTCATTTGTTTTTCAAATCCAAAGCGAGTAATTCACAAATGCTTGATTTGAAGCTAGGATTTTTATGTGATTTGTGCAATTTGGAGCTGCTAAGAAGTGTTACAAACGCCGTCTCAAAAGAAATACTATTAGTAAGCTCACAGGATATATAACAAAAATAAAAGAAATATTGTTTACATCTCACAGAGCCCTAATCGATCGAATTACTCCCATCCCCATGCCAGCAATGGCCGCGGCGGCGCAGGAGCAGTGGTACATCCTGTACGCCGTTCCAGACGTGGGGGACGATGTGATGGAGACGGTTCCGCTGCCGTCCCACCGCTCCGTCGCTTGTGGCGTCGCCAGCCCCACCGGGGACTTCGAATACCCCTACATCGCGGCCGCCGACCGCAGCGGCTTCCTTCTGCTCTGCGGCCACACCGCCGTCGGGCTCACCCTCTACGTCTGCGACCCGTGCTTCCGCAGGACGCTGGGCGTCTTCCCCCACGACGACGGCATCAACTGCCGCCACTGCGTCGGCGGTCGGCCTCATCCGCCACCGCACCGGCAAGCGCCTCATGGTGGCCGAGCTCAACCCGTGCTTCTTCGAACCAGAAACCTGCTTCACGCTCTTCTGCACGGTGGACCAGTACTCGTGGGTCGAGAAGGAGCCCGACTGCTCCAGCATCTTCTCTGTCGACCTGCAGAACGGGAGCGTGGTGCAGTGGGGCAAGTTCGAAGGTTTGGGGATGCCGGACGGCCCGGACCTGTCCTCCCGCCTGGTCCATGCTTGGCAGTTTCCGCCGGAGCTCGCCGAGTATCGCCCCTTGCCTGGTACCATCTCGTGCCCTCTCTGTGTCAAGTGTTTGCACGTTAATTTGCGTGTAAACATGATAAATTGCCTGGTAGCCGCATTTTGGCAAGCAACATAGTTCTTTTTAGCTGTACACACGGTCCCAGATCCCACATGTATGTGTTAGGTTGATCTCCTTCTCGTTCGAGCCCAACAGATCAAACGGGCCCTTGCATCGCGCCCTGATTGGGGGCGCCCAACCAAACCATGGTTGGTGGCCCCTGTGACCCGCGCTATATAAACATAGGTGGGGACCGGGGCATGACTCACGAGGTTAATCGCTGCCACAATCCTCACCGACATTCCCTACCGATTTAGGGTTAGCGCGGTGCTCACGGGAAGCACACCACCGCCGTCATCTCTCTGCCATCACCGGCCACTACTTCGTCATGGCCGGCTCCGGCTCGAACTCGTCCGCACCAGGAGAAGGTAGGTTCATCGGAATCACTAGCCTATACTGATCCAGAGGATCTATCAATGGTATAATCCCTCCTCTTTTTAGACCACACAACATCAACATCAGTGGCCTCTCTTACTGGCTCTGTAGATTTGATCGGTTGTGGTTCATCCACAACCCAGTCCAGATCAGTACAAACAAATGCCAGTTCTACTTTCTTCCTCCACTCAGTGTGATCGTCACCTCTGAGTGTCGAAACTTCTTTTAGGCAACTCATCAAGTGAAAGCCTCCTGAAATCACAATTTAAGTGACATCAGTATAACAATCATATGCATTAATCTAATGTTGGTCAAATTAAACATACAATTGTCTATGCAACTAAATCTATATTACCGTTGGGTAAAAATATTAGAAATAAATGCATCTTTAAATTTCAATAATGAATATGATTATGTTATTTTTTATGACCAACGTTGTTAATAACATGATCATGTTTTATTATTGAAATTTAAAGGCGCATTTATTTCTAATATTTTTACCCAACGGTAATATGGATTTAATTGCATAGACAATTATATGTTTAATTTGACCAACGTTAGATTAATGCATGTGATTGTTATACTGATGTCACTTAAATTATGATTTCAGGAGGCTTTCACTTAATGAGTTGCCTAAAAGAAGTTCCGACACTCAGAGGTGACAATCACACTGAGTGGAGGAAGAAAGTAGAACTGGCATTTGTTTGTGCTGATCTGGACTGGGTTGTGGATGAACCACAACCGGTCAGACCTACAGAGTCGGTAAGAGAGGCCACTGATGAAGATCCTGCGTGGTCTAAAAAGAGGGGGGGTTATGCTCCTTTGGAGATGTCATACATCATAGAAAACCAAAAGTGGGTCAATGCAAACAAAAAGTGCATGGCATTTATAAATAATACAATCGAGAGCACCATTGTGGGCTCCATTGCAGAGTGCACTTCCGCAGGGGGGTTGCTTGCAAAGATAGAGAGCCAGTTCACTGGCTCTTCAAAGATATATGCCACCCAGGTGTTAAAACAACTGGTGACAGAACACTGGTGGAATAAGAGAGCACATCCTCAGAATGAACAATATGGCAGCAAAGCTAAAACTCATGGATGAGGATCTGGAGATCAAACCAAAGTTCCTGGTCCACCTGGTCATGGCTTCACTGCCAAAGGAGTTTGAAACTTTTGTTGTAAACTACAATATGTCACTTGGAACATGGGACATTGAAAAGACAATAGCAATGTGTGTCCAAAAAGAGGACAGACTCAAAGCCTCACATGGTGGTTCACTCAACTATGTGAAGGATCAAAAGAAAAGGAATTACAATCAAAACAACAAAAGTTCTCCTTCAAAGCATGGAAAAGCTCCCTATCAGCATCAGCATCAGCAACAGCCTTTCTTAGTGGACAAAGACACTTGTCTCCACTGCAAGCAGAAAGGGCATTACAAGAAAGACGGCTGGAGTCCTTAATGGCAAAGCAAGGTAACAACATTGTTTTCTTAGTTAATGAATCCTTGTACACATAGTTTTTGAAATCTACTTGGTGGATTGACTCAGGAGCAACTGTTCATGTTGCAAATTGTTTACAGGGATTCCATTCAACCCAGACTACGCTAAGAAGAGAAAGAGGCGTTGAAGTATCAAATGGAATTCAAGCGGAAGTTGAAGCTGTCGGCGACATCTTCTTGGAGTTAGCTGATGGATTCAAGCTTCTACTTAGAGATGTTTTTTATGTTCCTTCATGTAATAGAAACTTAATTAGCGTTTCATGTTTAGACAAAGATAATTATGAATGTTACTTTGGACATGGCAAGTGTGCCATATGGTATAATAATGCTTATGTGGGTGATGCTTTACTACACGATGAGCTTTATTTGTTATCACTTCGTGAAAAAGTGCATTCTGTATGCAATGTGAATGAACATGTTTCCGCGTCGAATAAAGAACAAAACAAAAGAAAGAGAACATTCGACTCATCGAAATTATGGCACTGTCGCTTGGGCCATATTTCCAAGGGGAGAATAGAAAGATTAGTCAAAAGTGAAATTCTTCCTCTGTTAGAATTCTCAGACTTGGAACAATGCATATATTGCATTAAAGGAAAGTATATAAAACAAATCAAAAAAGGTGCAATCCATAGCACATGCACACTGGAAATTATTCACACTGACATTTGTGGACTATTTCCGGTGAAAAGTGTGGATGGATATGACTCGTTCATAACATTCACAGATGATTACTCTCGCTATGGATATATTTATCCAATCAAAGAAAGATCTGAAGCGTTGGATAAATTTAAAATATTCAAAGCTGAAGTTGAAAATCAGCATGATAAAAGAATAAAGATAGTCAGGTCTGACCATGGGGGAGAGTAATACGGTCGGCACACTCCATATGGCCAAGTCCCTGGGCCTTTTGTGAAGTTCTTGCAGGAGACTGGCATAGTAGCCCAGTATTCAATGTCGGGCGAGCCTCAGCAAAATGGAGTAGCTGAAAGGCATAACCGTACACTTATGGATATGGTGCACGACATGATGAGTTATTCCAACTTGCCATTGGGATTATGGATGGAGGCGCTTAAAACCGCCATTCACATTCTCAATAGAGTACCAAGCAAGTCGGTGCCCAAAACACCGTACGAGCTATGGACAGGAAGGGTGCCCTCCCTACAACACTTCAGGGTGTGGGGGTGCCCTGCTGAGGCCAAAATGTTTAATCCAAACATTGCAAAGTTAGATCCCAAAACAGTGAATTGCCACTTCATTGGCTATCCAAACAGATCAAAGGGTTTTCGTTTCTACTGCCCAGACAGATATAAAAAGTTTGTAGAAACGAGACATGCAGTCTTCTTATAAGACGAAATGATGAGGGGAAGCTTGGTAGCTGGGAAAATTGATCTTGAGGAGAAGAGGGTGCATGCACCTAATCCGATGATTCAGGAGCCAGTTTTCTCACTACCAGTTGCAACTCCACCCATGACAACTATGGGAGTAGACTCGGAACCTGTCCGTCAGGAGCCGACTGAACCCGTTGTTGAGCATGAAAGGGAGGTGCAGCAGCAAATTTTAGAAGAAGTGCCAGAAGTTGAGGAACGGAATATGCCAGAAACTGAGGCCCTTAGAAGGTCTACAAGACCAAGAAAGTCAACTATTTCTACTGACTTTAAAGTTTATAACACAGAAATGGTTCATATGGAAAAAGATCCCACCTCATATGAAGAAGCCATGAGAATCCCTCGTTCATCGATGTGGATGAAGGCAATGGAAGATGAGATGAAATTGATGAGTTCCAAAGATGTTTGGAACTTAGAGGAAATTCCTAAAGGAGCCAAAACAGTAGGCTGTACATGGGTCTACAAAATTAAGTATGACTCTAAAGGGAATGTAGAAAAGTATAAAGCACGACTCGTGGCAAAAGGATTTGCTCAAAGAGAAGGAATAGACTACAATGAGACTTTTTCCCCAGTCTCATGTAAGGATTCCTTCAGAATCATAATGGCATTAGCTGCACATTTTGATTTAGAGTTACATCAAATGGATGTTAAGACGACATTTCTGAATAGTGCTTTAAGGGAAAATGTCAACATGAAACAACCCAAGGGTTTTATCATGGAAGGCAAGGAAAATATGGGATGCCGCCTGAAGAAATCCATTTATGGGTTAAAGCAAGCCTCTAGACAGTGGTATCTAAAGTTTAATAAAACGATTAAAAGTTTTGGGTTTAAAGAAAATATTGAGGATAACTGCATTTATGCAAAGTTTAAAAATGGGAAATATATTTTCCTAATCTTGTATGTGGATGATATTCTGCTTGCTAGCAGTGATGTTAGTCTACTACAAGAAACAAAGAAGTTCTTATCCTCGAATTTTGACATAACAAATCTTGGTGAAGCATCATATGTTTTGGGCACAGAAATTCACCGAGATAGAAACAATGGAATCTTAGGACTATCGCAAAAAGCATATTTGGAAAAGGTTCTTAAAAACTATAATATGCATGCGAGTAAAGCCACACCTGTTCCTATAGTTAAGGGCGATAGTTTTGGGAAATTCCAATGCCCCAAGAACCAGTACGAGATCGATCAAATGAAAGCAGTACCATATGCTTCGGCAGTTGGCGGCTTACAGTATGCACAAGTGTGCACTCACCCTGACTTAGCCTTTGTCACCGGGGTACTCGGTAGGTATCAAGAGAATCCAGGCATAGAGCACTGGAAGATGGTAAAGAAAACATTGCGTTATGCGCAAGGCACGAAGGACTACATGCTAACATACAGGAGATGTGATTCTCTAGAGATAAAAGGGTATTCTGATGCAGATTTTGCGGGGGATGGAGATGATAGAAAATCCACGTCAGGATACGTATTCACTCTCGCTGGGGGAGCTATTTCATGGAAAAGCTCCAAACGGTCGATAGTTGCGTCATCCACGATGTATGCAGAATTCATAGCATGCTTCGAAGCCACGGGGCAGGCGATATGGCTACAGAAATTTGTACCCAACTTGAAAGTGGTAGATTGTATTGACAAACCACTAAAGATGTACTGTGACAACCAGCCCCGCAGTATTCTATGCTCACAACAACAAGTCGAGTAATGCTGCCAATACAATAGAGATAAGGTATTATGTTGTGAAAGATAAAATCCAAGATCAAA